TCCTAAGAGGCTGCGGCTGCAGTGAGCCGGCATGGTGCCACCACTCTAGCCTAGGCAACACAGTGAATCCTTGTCTCAAAAAAAGAAAAAAAAAGGGGAGAAGGGGTGATATGTGAATTCTCTGTGTCAGATGAAGTGGCTCATGCCTGTAATCCTAGCATTTTGGGAGGCTAAATTGGGAGGACTGCTTGAGGCCAGGAGTTTGGGACCTGGGTAACAGTAACACCTTTTCTCTCCAATAATAATAGTAATAAGGAAGGAGACCACTACTCCTGCTGCCCTCCTCCCCTCACCTTGCCTAGTTCACAAGACAGGAGGAAAGAGAGGAAAAAACAAAAGTAAGATAAATAGCCAGACAACCTTGGCACTACCACCTGGCCCTAGGAGTTAAACAAAGTAATAACATCAACCCCTGACCTAAACTACTTATCTGTAAATTTCAGACACTGTAGGAAAAAAGCATTGTAAAACTTTCTGTTCTGTTAGCTGATGCATGTAGCCCCCAGTCACACTTCCCACGCTTGCTTGATTTATCACGACCCTTTTCACGTGGACCCCTTAAAGTTGTAAGCCTTTAAAAAGGCCAGGTATTTCTTTCTCGGAGAGCTCGGCTCTTAAGTCGCGAGTCTGCCGACGCTCCCAGCCGAATAAAAAACCTCTTCCTTCTTTATGTATTTATTTATTTATTTATTTATTTAATTTTTATTTATTTATTTTTTTAAGATGGAGTCTCGCTCTGTCGCCCAGGCTGGAGTGCAGTGGCGCGATCTCCACTCACTGCAAGCTCCGCCTCCCGGGTTCACACCATTCTCCTGCCTCAGCCTCTCGTGTAGCTGGGACTACAGGCGCCCACCACCTCGCCCGGCTAATTTTTGTATTTTTAGTAGAGACGGGGTTTCACCGCGTTAGTCAGGATGGTCTCGATCTCCTGACCTCGTGATCCGCCCGTCTCGGCCTTCCAAAGTTTTGGGATTACAGGCGTGAGCCACCGTGCCCCGCCATCTTCCTTCTTTAATCCGGTGTCTGGGGAGTTTTGTGTGTGGCTCATCCTGCTACAGTAATAATAAATAAAAAAAGAAAATTAGCCAGGCATGGTGGCAACCACATGTAGTCTTAGCTACTTGGGAGGCTGAGGTGGGAAGATCGCTGGAGTCCAGGAGTGCAGGCTGCGGTGAGCCATGATCGCTGCACTGCACCCCAGCCTGGGCAACAGAGTGAGACGCTGTCTCTTTAGAAAAAAAAAAAAAGAGAGAGAGTTCTGTTCTTGGGGATGCTGTATTTTGGTGCAAAATTGGGTGAATACAGTTTGCAGTTAGGGTAATAATGGAAATGAAGTATTCTCACTGAAAAGAGTGTAGGCCATCCCATTTGAAGGCTGGGACAAATCTTGGGATCTTTCTGCCTGATATGCAGCCTGTGTTTGCTACAGCACCTGCCCAGAGCATTTCTCCCACTGTTAGAGATTGTAGAAAGACTAAGAGTTTTGGCCAGGCGCAGTGGCTCACACCTGTAATCCCAGCATTTTGGGAGGCCAAGGCGGGTGGATCACTTGAGGTCAAGAGTTCGAGACCAGCCTGGCCAACATGATGAAACCCCATCTCTACAAAAAAAAAAAAAATTAGCCGGGTGTGGTGGTGGGCGCCTGTAATCCCAGCTTCCCAGCTGCTTGGGAGACTGAGGCAGGAGAATCACTTGAACCCAGGAGGCAGAGGTTGCAGTGAGCTGAGATCGCGCCATTGCACTCTAGCCTGGGCAACAAGAGTGTAACTCCGTCCCTGCTCCCCCGCCAAAAAATAAGGCAAGAGTAAGACTTTTAGAATCAGTAGTGACTGTCACTAAGTTCAGTTCCTTGCTGTGACTTGTACCAGCTGGGTGACCTTGGGCAGTTTTCATAATCTCTGAGCAAATGTATCCTATCTGTGAAGTCAATATTTTTTTTTTTTTTTTTTTTTTTTTTTTTGCCAAGACAGAGTCTTGCTCTGCTGCCCAGGCCGGAGTGCAATGGCATGATCTCAGCTCACTGCAACCTCTGCTTCGGGGTTCAAGCAATTCTCCTGCCTTAGCGTCCCAGGTAACTGGGATTACAGGTGCCCGCCACCATGCCTGGCTAATTTTTGTATTCTTAGTAGAGACAGGGTTTCACCATTTTGGCTAGGCTGGTCTTGAACTCTTGACCTCGTGAATCGCCCACCTTGGCCTCCCAGAGTGCTGGGATTACAGGCGTGAGCCACCGCGCCCGGCCTGAAGTTACTAATTTCTAAATGCTGGCTTATAGTGAGGATCGTAGATAATGCATATACAACTTGGAATGTGCTCCATAAACAGGTTGTAGCATGTTCCATTCAACAGCATAGTTTTTCTTCGTGTTTATTTTTTATCCTGATGAAAATAATTGTGCTTTTACAATCTCAGAACACATAGAACCATTATGTGTTTCACCGTCCATAGCTGATCGCGTGCTTCTGACACTACTATTACGTTTCTGATCATTATACTCTTGTCTTTTGCTTTGGGAAGTTAGGGGGATTTTGACCTCTCCCTCATCTTGTCCCACATCTGTCAATTAACCGGCACTATCAAGATGGAAATCAGTGTGTTTCTTTCAGCGTTCTTAGCACATGTGAGAGCTTAACATGAGCTCTTCCTGACCCAGTTTTGATCTCTAATAGCTCAGTGTCATTGGTGTTTTTTCTGTGGTCTCCCAGACTTGTCCCCCATGATTCCTGGGGTAGGGGGCTGGGTGGACAAGACTTGAGGAAGGGAAAGAGTGGGATTGAATTAAAAGAAAAAGGCAATAAAATCACCAGCACACACTGATCCAAGAAAGTTCCTTCCCTTGTCTCCTAACCAAAAAGCTAATAAGGCCACTCAGGAGTATGAACCTCACATTTGTAAAAAACAAACATCTTTTCTTATTTATTTATTCATTTATTTATTTATTAATAAGACAGAGTCACATTCTGTCGCCCAGGTTGGAGTGCAGTGGCACGATCTCGGCTCACTGCAACCTCCGCCTCCCAGGTTCAAGTGATTCTCGTGTCTCCGCCTCCCAGGTAGCTGGGACTACCGGCATGTGCCACCACGCTCAGCTAATTTTTTGTATTTTTAGTAGAGACAGGGTTTCACCATATGGGACAGGCTGGTCTACAAACTCCTGACCTTGGCCTCCCAAAGTGCTGGTATTATAGGCGTGAGCCACCGCGCCCAGCCAAAACGAACCACTTTTCCACTGAAATAAGGAAGTACAGTCCATCCTACAAGTGTTCTGAATTTATGAGGTGTTACAGCTCACGTTCTGTCTGATCAGAATTACCTTTAGAAATGACTAATCTTGGCCGGACGCGGTGGCTCACGCCTATAATCCCAGCACTTTGGGAGGCCAAGGTGGGCAGATCATCTGAGGTCGGGAGTTCGAGACCAGCCTGACCAACATGGAGAAACCCTGTCTCCACTAAAAATACAAAATTAGCCAGGTGTGGTGGCGCATGCCTGTAAACCCAGCTACTCAGGAGGCTGAGGCAGGAGAATTGCTTGAACTTAGGAGGCGGAGGCTGCAGTGAGTCGAGATTGTGCCACTGCACTCCAGCCTGGGCAACAAGAGCGAAACTCGGTCTCAAAAAAAAAAAAAAAAAAAAAAAAAGAAAAGGAAATGACTAATATTGAACATATGGAGCTCCATGGTGGCGAGGAAGTTCTAGGCATCAGTTCTGCAGCAGCCTCCAGCTCTGACCAGCTCTGAGCTCCCCTATGTGCAGTGGAGCATGGCACGAACCTGGCAGCCAGCCTCAGACCAGGAGTGGCATCCCGTTCAATGTCTCCTCTTCAAGACCCCATTTCTCACACGTGGCTTGTTCCAGCCAACTTTTGACTTAGCTCCTCACTAGAGATTTTGGCAGTCATTCTGCCTGGACCTAATAGCCAGAGCGAGAAGCAGACCAGCACAAAAGTTCAATATGAGAGCCCTGGAGCCAGCTTGTAGGGCTCCAAGTCCCAGCTCCGGCCTTTATTAGTTATGTGACCTTCAGGCAAGGAACAACTTATCTGACTCTGCATCTTCATTGGTAAAAAGGAGATAGTAATAATTCCTACCTCAGGGTTGTTTGGATGGAAAATTTGTAATAGACATGGAAGAGTCTAGCACAGCAACTAGCCCAGCATAGGCAGGCGATCTAAAGCTAACTTTGGCCAATTAAGCAAAAAAGGACTGTGTTAAAAAGGATCAGAAGTTCTCAGATCATTTGGAAAGCTAGGTAAGACTTGAGGCTTGGGCAGGTGCAGTGGCTCATGCCTGTAATCCCAGCACTTTGGGAGGCTGAGGCAGGAGGATCACTTGAGGTCAGGAGTTCGAAAACAGCCTGGCCAAAATAGCGAAACCCTGTCTCTGCTAAGAATACAAACAATAATTAGGCAGGTGTGATGGCGCGTGCCTATAGTTCCACCTACTAGGGAGGCTGAGGCAGGAGAATCACTTGAACCCGGGAGGCGGAGGTTGCAGTGAGCTGAGATAGCACCACTATACTCCAGCCTGGGCAACAGAGCAAGACTGTCTGAAAAAAAAAAAAAGACTTGAGGCTTCCAGGAATGACATTGCAGGGCTGGTCTGATGGCGTTGTTGCCATTGAGCACCAACTGCTACAGTTTGCATCCTTGCCACTTCTACACCAGGAACTCAATTTTGTGGATACTACTGCCACAGTTACCACACAAAAGAGCACTCCCGATTCCTTTCCTGAGTCACAGTGTGGCACGGGTGCATCCCTGGTCCCCATGCCTGGCCCTGGCTAAGGGGAGGCTGGGAAAGTCGGTGTCTAGCATTTTCAGCTAAAAATACAAAATTAGCCAGGCGTGGTGGTGCATGCCTGTAATCCCAGCTACTCAGGAGGCTGAGGCAGGAGAATTGCTGGAACCTAAGTGGAGGTAGTTATTGCCCCCCATGAAGTCTCATAAAACAGGGGATTTCCTGGAGACAAGAAGGGGTTCAGATACCAGGCACCCAGACCCAATAACACATGTTCAATATTATCCACAACAAAGAGATATCATCAACATAGAACAATAAGAGATATTGATACCCGACGAGCTTGTTACATCTCTGTCATTTTACACATTGAGATCAAACTCCAAACACCAGGAAGCCCCCTGGTAAAGAGTACTGGCTGCCTACCCAACATTCTCCCCTCCTCCCTTAGTGTCAGAACCCCTTTGTTATGAGGGATAGTCACGTACCCAGCAAATAAGCCACATCTCCCAGCCTCCATTCCAGGTAGGGGTGGGTGGTTAGTGAGATGGAAGCAGAAGGCATTGGGTAGAGCTTTTGGGAAAGCTCTTCAGAAGCGCCCTTTGCTCTTCTCCCCCTTTCCTCTGTTTTCCCTTCCCCAAACACAAAATTGGCAGCTAGAGCTCCAGTAACCATCTTGTAGCAAACCTAACATTGGAAGCCATTTGTCAAGGTTGGCAGGGCAGAAATACAGCCTCTGAGTAGCTGATGACCTGTCCTGCCAGCACTGGACTCCATAACATTATTTTTCTTTTATGTGGTGGAAAAAATAAACCTGCTTCTCATTTAAGCCATTGTTACTTTGAGTCGCTCTTCCTAGCAGCTGAAGGTAATTCCTTACTAATACCAGCCGCCCTCAGTAGTTTCACAGGTGCTTCCCTTCTAGCAATCCAAGATGTCATCATCCTCTGGCGCATAAGAAAATCCCAGGAATGCACTTGAGGCCCCAGAGCTGCTGGCCACAGTGTCAGGGGTACAGCCAATGGACTTGGACACAGCTTCCTGGGTGAACTCTGGGTCAAAATGCTTCAAGTCAGCAGGTCCTGCCTGTCAATAAAAGCCAACGATGAGAAGAAAACACTGGGGTCAGAGCTGCCAAAGGAGCCCAAATCCTCAGGGATGTCAGGCCTCTGTGAGTGCCCCATGCTTCATAGTCATCCATACTTGACTGTCACTTTCCTGTGCATTTACATTGATCATTTTATCCGCTCACCTCCTGGTATTCTGCCTCTACACCAATCCTTAGACGAGTTAGTTAATCAACATATACTTACTGAATGCCTACCAGGTACTGTTCATGGCGCTGGGAACACAGGAGAACAAGACAAAGTGAGCCCCTGTATTCACGGAGCTTACACTGTTAGGGGGTAAGAGGATTGATAATAAGCATGTGTACAGATAGATAACTTAGGATGGTGACAGGTCCTATGAAGAAGATAAAATAGGATAATATGGTGGAGATTGGGGCTGCTTTAGCTATTTTGGAGGAAGACCTGTGTGGGAGATTACAAAAATGATCACAAATTCTCCATTTCCCATCTAGAGGTGGAGTCTATTTCTCCATTCCTTTAATGTAAGTTAGCCATATGACTTGGTTAGGCCAATGGGACATTACCAAATACGACACAAGCAGAGGCTTGAAAAATGTACATCAGAAGTTGCTCTCTTGCTGCACTTCTAACCCTGAGGCCACCATGTGAATAGTCCCAGACTAGTCTGCTGGAGCATGAGAGGCTTCGTGAAGAACTCAGTTGCCCCGGCTGCCTGCCAACTCCCAGGCATGGGAGCGAGGCAATTCTAGATCAACAACTGCCAACTGTCCCGCTAGCTGACCACACACATGAGAGAGCTCCACAGAGACCAGCTGGCCTGGCTCAGACTAAAAAAAAACACATAGAATCCGAACAAAATAATTTTTTTTTAAGAGACAAGGTCTTTTTTGCCCTGTCACCCAGGCTGGAGTGCACTGGCATGATCACAGCTCACTACAGCTTCGACATCCCACCTCAGCCTCCTGCTGGGACTACAGGCATGCAGCACCACACCCAGCTAATTTTCTATTTTTCTATAAAGATGGGGTCTCACCATGTTGCCCAGGCTGGTCTTGAACTCCTGACCTCAAGCAATACTAATGACTTGGCCTCACAAAGTGCTGGGGTTACAGATATGAGCTACCATGCCTGGCCAAAAGATTGTTGTTTTAAACCACCTAGCTTTGGAGTTGCTTGTTATGCACCAAGAGCTAACCAATACAGTCTCTCTGAGGAGGCGGCCTCGGTTTTATAAAGTAAGCAGCCGAGGAAGGGGAAGGGCTTGCAAATCTTCTTTAGTGTGCAAGTTGGGCTATGGAGCCAAACAGATCAGTTTCCAGCTTCTCAATAAGGCTACAAGACAAGGTAGACCCAGCCCAGCACTCAGAGTTCCAAGACCAGAATGTGTATCCTGGCCCTTATTAGTTGTGTGACCCTAGAAGAAAATGATACTAAAGAAACTTACTGAAGACCTCACAAAACCAGGAATCCAGCTTCAGAGTGTCTCATTCTAAAGTCCATGCATCTGTGCCTGGTATTCCATGTATGATTCTCTCTCCAGGGTATCAGTTTACATTGTCTTTACTGTCTTTTTAAAATTCCAAGGAAAAGAAACTTTTCTGGTGCCTGGCCTGAGTGTATCCTGTCTGATCCAGTGCCCAAAGACAAGTTCATGAATAGGTAATTCACGAAAGGAGAAATGTAAATGGTGAATTAACATTGGCAGTGTTTCGTATGCAGGCTGTTTCGATGGAAGGGGCTTGGCACCACGCTTTACAGGTAGACCACACAGCCTCAAATGCCCACCTCCAATAGGGCTCCTTTCATTCACACTGCCACTACCAATTAACATTGCAAAAACAGCACTTTGGGAGGCCAAGGCAGGAGGATCACTTGAGGTCAGGAGTTCGAGACCAGCCTGGCCAACATGGTGAAACTCTGTTTCTACTAAAAATACAACAACAAAAAAATTAGCCAAGCGTGGTGCTAAACGCCTGTAGTCCCAGGTACTCGGGAGGCTGGGGCACGAGAATTGCTTGAACCTGCAGAGCTAGAGGTTGCAGTGAGCTGAGATCGTGCCACTGCACTTCAGCCCGGGCAACAGAGCAAGACTCCATCTCAAAAATATAAAAAATAAAAGCCAGGCACGGTGGCTCATGCCTGTAATCCCAGCACTTTGGGAGGCTGTGGTGGTCAGATCACTTGAGGTGTTTGTGATTGGTGTTTGTGATCTTTGCCAACGTGGCAAAACCCCATCTCTACTAAAAATACAAAAATTAGCCAGGTGTGGTGGCACATGCCTGTAGTCCCAGCCACTCAGGAGGCTGAGGCAGGAGAACTGCTTGAACCAAGGAGACAGAGGTTGCCATAAACCGAGATTGCGCCACTGCACTCCAGCCTGGGCAAAAAAGTGAGACTCCATCTCAATAAAATAAAATAAAAATGAAAATGAAAATTAAAACTGGCCAGGTGTGGTGGCTCACACCTGTTATCCCATCACTTTGGGAAGTTGAGGGGGTGGATCAGTTGAGCACAGGAGTTCAAGATCAGCCTGGGCTACATAGAAAAACCTCACATGTACAAAAAATACAAATTATCTAGGGGTAGTGGCACCCACCTCCCAACTACTCGGGAGGTTGAGATAGGAGGATGGCTTGAGCCCAGGAGGTGGAGGTTGCAGTAGGCAGAGATCATGCCACTGCACACCAGCCTGGGTGCTAGAGTGAGACCCTATCTCAAAAAATAAATAAATTTTAAAAACTAACCATCTTTACTATAAGACAGAGAAATATAAATTAAAACAATTAAGAGATACTGTTTTTTACTTACCAAATTTGCAAAGTAAAAAACAATAACAACACATGCTTCAGAGTGCAAGTAAGATGAGAACTCTCCAGCAGGTGCCGCTGGTAGGCAGTAGATGGTTCTCCCTTCCACACAGTGAAAAGGCCTAAAAATGGCAAGGTGTGGTGGCTCACGCCTATAATCCCAGCACTTTGGGAGGCCAATGCAGGTGGATCACTTGGGGCCAGAAGTTCGAGACCAGCCTGGCCGATATGGTGAAACCCTGTTTCTACTAAAAATACAAAAATTAGCCAGGCGTTGTGGCACATGCCTATAATCACAGCTACTCGGGAGGCTGAGACATGAGAATTGCTTGAACCTGAAATCATGCCACTGCACTCCAACCTGGGCAACAGAGCCAGACTCTGTCTCAAGGAAAAAAAAAAAAAAAAAAAAGAGAGAGAATCTGAAAATGTGAGCATTGGGAACCCCCATCTGGAATCCATCTTAAGGAAATAACCAGAATTCTGGACAAAGACATATACTTAAAGCTGTTCATCAGGACATCATTATGGCCGGGCGCGGTGGCTCACGCCTGTAATCCCAGCACTTTGGGAGGCCGAGGCGGGCGGATCACAAGGTCAGGAGATCGAGACCATGGTGAAACCCCGTCTCTACTAAAAATAGAAAAAATTAGCCGGGCGCAGTGGCGGGCGCCTGTAGTCCCAGCTACTCGGGAGGCTGAGGCAGGAGAATGGCGTGAACCCGGGAGGTGGAGCTTGCAGTGAGCCGAGATTGTGCCACTGCACTCCAACGTGGGAGATAGAGCCAAACTCCCTCTCAAAAAAAAAAAAAAAAAAAAGAAAAAACATAGTAACAACCAGAAGATTGCCATTAGGAACATGGGTGAGTAAATTATGTTACCAACATAGGATTGAAATACTATGCAGCCACTAAAAATTGTACTTATAAATTTTTTATGACATGAGGAAATTATTACAACATAGTTTTTAGCCAAAAAAGGAGGAAGATATATAGATGAATAGATACACACATATACACATATAGATATTATAAAGTAGGACCTAATTAGGTTAGAAAAAAAGAAAACCCAGGCTGGGCACGGTGGTTCACGCCTGTAATCCCAGCACTTTGGGAGGCTGAGGTGGGCAGATCACGAGGTCAGGAGATCGAGACCATCCTGGCTAACACGGTGAAACCCATCTCTACTAAAAATACAAAAACAAAATTAGCCGGACATGGTGGCGGGTGCCTGTAGTCCCAGCTACTCGGGAGGCTGCGGCAGGAGAATGGCATAAACCCGGGAGGTGGAGCTTGCAGTGAGCCAAGGTGGCACCACTGCACTCCAGCCTGGGCAACAGAGTGAGACTCCATCTCAAGAAAAAGCAAAACAAAACAAAAAAACATGTAGAAAAGTGACTGGAAGGAAATATGCCAGTGGTTTCCCTTAAGTAGTGAGGTAATAAGCATTTCCCCACTGCTACTTTAAACTTTTCTGTTTTACATGCATTCCTCTTTTTTTTTTTTTGAGACAAAGTCTCCCTCTGTTGCCTAGGCTGGAGTGCAATGGCATGATCTTGGCTCACTGTGACCCCTGCCTCCCAGGTTCAAGCTATTCTCCCACCTCAGCCTCCTGAGTAGCTGGGATTACAGGTGTGCACCACCACTTCTGGCTAATTTTTGTATTTCTAGTAGAGATGGGGTTTCACCATGTTGGCTACACTGGTTAGTTCTCCCTTCCACACAGTGAAAAGGTGGTACGAATCAAGAACCTAAAAATGGCCGTGCCGACCTCAGTGACCTGCCCTTAAGTGATCTGCCCACCTCAACCTCCCAAAGTGCTGAGATTACAGTCCTGAGCCACCGCGCCTGGCCAGTGTTTTACACACTTTTTGTAAGAATATATGTCATTTTTATTACCAGGAAAAAGTCTATAAATAGAAAAAGATAAAATATTTCTAAAGGACTTGGCCCTATGTGGGTGTGCTACGTGACACACAAACTGTAAAAGGCTCTGAAGTCAGAGGTATTTATTGGTGCTAAAGGTAAAGGAGCAGCAACATGGCTCTTTATCCAAGAGCTGCACCTGTAGTCAGGACCAGTTCTACCTCTAACTGACTGTGTAGCCTAGGACAAATGCCTGAGCTTCTTGGACCCCTAGTTTTTCCATCTGGATAAGGAGAGTTGGTGCACATAGCAAGCTCCCCCAGCCCCGGAAATCCAGAATCTAGAATGCTGTGACCTCTTACCACATTTGGGTTGAAGGGTGGAGTTAGCCTCTTGTGGTACAGGTCATCCCAGTTTATAGGGCTGAAGAATACATGGTTCTTAATCTCCAGCTGCAGGAAGTGCAGAAAAAAGGTGCTGGTTAGAAGTAGCCCTCCCCATGGGTGTTCTCACCTCACTCCCACATCCTCCAGAGCTCCACCAGCAACTGGCTGTCAACTGGAAATTAACTTGCAGTTCTGGCCGGTTTCCTGGGACAAGAGAGTTTTGTAGCCAACCCTCTCCCATCATCCAGAATCCAAACCCTTCTCTCCACTGCAGCATCTGTTTATTCCAAAACTATTTACTGAGCATCTTCTCTGGGCACCGACCCCTTGCTAGGCTTTGGGGGTGTCAGTGAATAAGACAGCAGAATCTGCTCTAAGGGTGGGGAAGTGCCAGTGGGAGCTTGGGGACCCCTCCCCTCACTCTGCTTCAGTACATCTTGAGTTTTCCAGTATGCAAAGAAGAGAAATAGACTAAATCAACTCACTAGGGAAGGCTTGAAAAATAAAGCCCCCAAGAAGACCTTCGGATTCCCAGACAACCAGATTTTAGGACTCAGCCCTGGTCATGATTCACCACCTTTCCTAATCAAAATCAACATTGGCACCAACTTCTTTCCATCACATCCTCTATCTGTGTTTCTCAAATAATCATTCTCCACCTCCCTATATCAGGAACCCCAGTGGGCTGGTTAACAACTCAGATCCGAAATATCTCCATAAGAGGTTGGGTGCGGTGGCTCACGCCTGTAGTCCCAGCACTTTGGGAGGCCAAGGCGGGTGGATCACCTGAGGTCAGGAGTTCATAACCAATCTGGCCAACATGGTGAAACCCCGTCTCTACAAAAATAGAAAAATTAGCCAGGCATAGTGGTGTGTGCCTATAATCCTAGCTACCTGGGAGGCTGAGGCAGGAGAATCGCTTGAACCCAGGAGGCAGAGGTTGCAGTGAGCCGAGATCATGCCACTGCACTCCAGTCTGGGCGACAGATCAAGACTCTGTCTCAAAATAAAAATAAATAAAGCCTCCAAAAGAATACCCGAGAAATTGGTAACACTGGTTGCCTCTGAATTGAGGAACTGGGTGGCTGGAAGGACTTTTTCTGGATACTCTTTTGTACCCTTTGAATTTTGATCTATGTGAATGTATAACTTATTTTAAGAGTCATACATTTTTTTTTTTAAGATGCAAATTTTTGCTTGGAACAGGAGACTTATCTTCATGGAAACCCCTGTTCTTTAAGCTGGCCAGGAGTACGCAGCAGATGCCCTAACTGTTGTTATAATTTACAGTAACTGAAATGTAAAGCTTTTGGTACAAACACTTAAAAAGCACTTACTGTGCGCCAGACACTGCTGAGAGCACTTTGCATACATTAATACTAATCCATTTGATCTTCAAAACAGCTGTGTTAGGTGTTATTACAATGGGGAAACTGCGGCTTACAGAGAGAAATTAAGCAACACGTCCGAGGTCCTGTAACCAGTAAGTGGTGAAGGAGGGATCTGAACCCAAGTAGTCTGCCTCATAGTCCATTCTTTTTTTTTTTTTTTTTTTTTGAGATAGAGTCTCACTCTGTTGCCGAGGCTGGAGTGCAGTGGCACCCATCTCAGCTCACTGCAACCTCCACCCACCCCCAGGTTCAAGCAATTCTCATGTCTCAGCCTCCTGAGTAGCTGGGATTACAGGCGCCCACCACCACGCCCGGCTAATTTTTGTACTTTTAGTAGAGATGGGGTTTCACCATGTTGGCCAGGCTGGTCTCGAACTCCTGACCTCAGGTGATCCGCCCGTCTTGGCCTCCCAAAGTGCTGGGATTACAGGTGTGAGCCACTGCACCTGGCCTAGTCCATTCATCTTAACCACTGTGTTAGAAAAGAAAGCAAACTCCTGGTGAGAAAGGTATTGTGGCCTTCTTTTTGTAAATCCAAATTATCTTGTATTGAATTTAAAAAGTAGGATTATTTTTAAAGTGCCACTTTAATAAATGAATATAATGAATTTGCTAAGAATGGACTATGAATCATTTATCCCTATATCCCATTTGCCCAGCCTGGGGTCTGGCAAGGAAGAAGTGCTCAGATATTTGTAAAAAGCAAGTGCTGGCTGGGAGCAGTGGCTCATGCCTGTAATTCCAGCACTTTGGGAGGCTGAGGCGGGCAGATCACTTGAGGTCAGGTGTTCGAGACCAGCCTAGCCAACATGGTGAAACCCCGTCTCTACTAAAAAAAAGTACAAAAATTAGCCAGGCATGGTGGTGGGTGCCTGTAGTCCCAGCTACTCAGTAGGCTGAGGCATTAGAATTGCTTGAACCTGGGAGGTGGAAGTTGCAGTGAGTCGAGATTGCGCCACTGCACTCCAGCCTGGGCGACAGAGCCAGACTCAGTCTCAAAAAAAAAAAAAAAGGCCAGGCATGGTGGCTCACGCCTGTAATCCCAGCACTTTGGGAGGCCGAGGCGGGCGGATCATGAGGTCAAAAGATCGAGACCATCTGGCCAACATGGTAAAACCCCATCTCTACTAAAAATACAAAAATGAGCTGGGCGTGGTGGTGTGTACCTGTAATCCCAGCTACTCTGGAGGCTGAGGCAGGAGAATCGCTTGAACTCGGGAGGTGGAGGTTGCAGTGAACTGAGACTGCACCACTGCACTCCAGCCTGGCAACAGAGCGAGACTCCGTTTCAAAAAAAAAAAAGCAAATGCAGTCCACTCTCCACAAAGAAGCCAGAGGAATCTTCTATAAACTTAAATCAGGTCATGCCACACCTCTGCTCAAAACCCCCTAAAACTTGCCACTCTCCTCCTTGTTCCCATAGCAGGACGTCTGCACATGCTGTGCCCTGTGTCTGGGGAGCCTTTGCCCAGCTGTCTTCATGGCTGCCTCTTTCTCATCCTTCAAGCCTCAGCTTAATTGTCACCCCCTCAGAGAGAACTCCCTGACAATGCCAGTATTAATTTGCCCCCCTCCCATTATTGTTTCTCTCAGCTCATTGTTCATTTTCTTCCTGACATTTGTCATATCTTGTGATAATTGTATATAATGTTTGGGTTTTTTGCCTAGCCCCAACCCCAAACTTTTTGTTTTTGTTTTTATTTTTGAGATGGATTTCTGCTTGTTGCCCCGGCTGGAGTGCAATGGCATGATCTCAGTTCACTGCAACCTCCGCCTCCTACGTTCAAGTGATTCTCCTGCCTTAGCCTCCCAAGTAGCCAAGATTACAGGTGCCCACCACCACGCCCAGATAATTTTTGGTATGTTTAGTAGAGGTGGGGTTTATAACATGTTGGCCAGGCTGGTCTCAAACTTCTGACTTCAGGTGATTCACCTGCTCTGGTCTCCCAAAGTGCTAGGATTACAGGCATGAACGCTGCACCCAGCTCCCACCCCAAACTTAATAAGGGCAGAGACCCAGTCTATTGAATCCCTAACACCTAGCTCAATACCTGGCACATAGTTGGTGCTTAGTAAATATTGATTGACTAAGAGAACTAGACTAGAGAAAGCAGTCAGCTAGTAGCAGTAGTGAATTTCTAAATGAACAAGTGAGCAGTGCCTGGTTTTAGAGGGCAGCAGGATGCATGTTAATGTGCTTCTGAGCTGCCTCTGCAGGAAGCTGCGAGCCCCTTGGGGGCCAGTGCTCCACTGGTAGGTCACCTACAAAGTCTGCTTTGGAGCCCAGCCGCTGCCTCTGGTCCTTGTGGAGAAGGCTTTGCAGGAGGTCACAGGCGGCCACCGTCCGGCCCCCAGGGATCTGTAGCGGCTGGTGCAGAATGTTCTCATACATCTGGGACACGTCTTGGCTGTAGAAGGGCGGCTGGGGAGAGAGGGAGAGCAACTGGAGGATCACCCATGCAAAAGTGAACACAGGCTCCGGGAGGCTTGGAGCAAGGTGGGCGCTGGGAGGACTCAGCATGACCCCTGTCTTGTGCAACGGCTCGCGTGGCAGACTGGAAAGAGACAGGACTCCAGGTTTCCTGCACAATGGAGAGAGTTGCTAGGAAGGCCTGAAGTCTCTTCCCACCAGTGTGAGGCCCATCTCTTTTCATCTAGCTTGCTCACCTACTTTGCATTTGGCAACATTTGCACTTTCACCTTCATCATTTCACCCCAGTCTCATAACTATCCTCCAGGAGAGCTGTAATTTTTCAGATAAGAAAACAAGGCCGGGCGCGGTGGCTCAAGCCTGTAATCCCAGCACTTTGGGAGGCCGAGACGGGCGGATCATGAGGTCAGGAGATCAAGACCATCCTGGCTAACCCGGTGAAACCCCGTCTCTACTAAAAAATACAAAAAACTAGCCGGGCGTGGTGGCGGGCGCCTGTAGTCCCAGCTACTCGGGAGGCTGAGGCAGGAGAATAGCGTGAACCCGGGAGGCGGAGCTTGCAGTGAGCTGAGATCCGGCCACTGCACTCCAGCCTGGGCAAGAGAGCCAGACTCTGCCTCAAAAAAAAGAAAAAAGAAAACAAGACTCAGAGCAATTATGCTGCACAGTTAGGAAGAGAGTCAGGCCCCAAACCATATCCAGGGTCCCCTTCTCTTTCTTACTATTCTTCCTCCCAAGCCTCTTCCAGCTGTTCCTTCCCCTTAATCCACAGAGTCTGTTCCTTCCTAGGAACCAAGCTATGTTGGTGAAACCACCCCCAAAGCAAAGCATGGCCTAGGGCAAATCTACACATGCCTCTACCTAAGCAGGCAGCCTAGGACTGGGGCCAGGGGTGGTTCCACAACCTATCAGGACTGTGATCTCTCTTGGTCTCAATTTCCCTATCAGCAAACTATGAATAATTCCATTTCCTTCTGTCAGTCTCCAAAGGCTATTTTGAGGCACCCAAGGTGAGACAGTGTGTTGTAAACAATAAAGTGCTAAACTAACTTTTTTTTTTTTTTTTTTTGAGACAGAGTCTCCCTCTGTCATCCAGACTGGATGTGCGGTGGTGCGATCTCGGTTCACTGCAGCCTCTGCCTCCAAAGTTCAAGTGATTCTTCTGCCTCAGCCTCCCGAGTAACTGGGATTATAGGTGCTCGCCACCATGCCCAGCTAATTTTTGTATTTTTAGTAGAGATGGGGTTTCAGCATGTTAACCAGGCTGGTCTTAAACTCCTGACCTCAGGTGATCCACCTGCCTCAGCCTCCCAAAGTGCTGGGATTATGGGTGTGAGCCACCGCTCCTGGCCTAAACTAACATTATTGGAAAAAAAAATAATTCGCATATCTGCTTTGGCGTTATCTTTTTTAGTCTGGAATGAAGAGATGGCTTGCTCATTTTCCTGGGCAGAGTTTGTGTAGACCACATGAGAGATAGACCCATCGCTAGCCAGATGGCCCTTGTAGATGGCTACCCCCGACTCACCAGGCCGTGCAGCATCTCGTAGAGGACTGCCCCCAAGCACCACCAGTCTACCGCCCGATCACAAGGCTCTTTCCGAAGCACTTCAGGTGCCAAGTACTGTCAGAAGGAAACACACTTATCTGAATGAAGTAAGTTGTTAAGCCTCAGTTGCCCCATCTGTAAATAAGGCACTTGGAGGAAGATGACCAAGAGCTGACCCTGCTGTGCGTGTGCTCTGTGGCTGTGCATGTGTTCATTTATCAGTCATTCACCAAAGGCCTGCTTTCTGCAGGGCCCTTTGCCATGGGTTGGGGACGTAGAAGAGGTCAGCCAGGGCTGCTTTATGCAATTTACATGGTGTGTACCACACAAAAGCATGAGCCAAAAGGGTAAAGGGGGCTGCAGTCATGGCTGTGATCCACTCACCAAGGCACAACACTATTTCAGAGGTATTATCTGTCAACTTTATTTTTGTTTCAAGGGGTGCTTTTTCTAATTAGTCTGCCCGGAGGGGATGCCTTTTTCTATTTATGCAAAGGCATTCAGCCGGCTATCGTGTCCTGGGAATGGAAGGCCCTGGGAGTACTCTCACAGGACAGTGTGGAGACGAACGCGAGTGTAAGTAAAAGTAAATGTGGTATATCCTTGTGCTGGAAACCCTAGGGTCAGATGAGAGGGTCAGGAAGGAGGGGGTGATCCCTGAGCTATTGATAAATAAATGCACACCATGCCTGTATGCCTTGCCTGAGGAAGAGAACCTGGGAACAAAAAAAAGAGGCTTACTGATTTCTTAGCCTAGTGTCTCTGCCACTGAGTCAGGGGCAAGTTCTCAGCAACAGGAAAAGCTGCTCTGAGAGACTGTGTGGGTCTAGGAAGGGCAGAGTCACACAGACCTGAGCCCCGGTTGGTGTGTGGTCTCAGTCAGGGGCATTTAACCTCTCAGAACCTGGTTTTCTCATTGAAAAAATGAAGATACCAAATCCCTCCTAGACGCTGTTCTAAGATGCTAACATATGTGCTGGCCCTCGAACAATGGGAGCAACCATGGCTACTCTTGCCTGTGACCCCCAACACTGTGGAAGTGGCTGAGTCATGGTTAGGTGATGTGTTGGAGCCACATGTCTCCTACATGAGCTGGGGTTCCATATCCTTTGCTCCTGTCCCTAGCAACGTTCAAGGAAGGGATGGCTGGACTGCCAGGCTTTGGGGGGCTGGCTTTATCCAGCAAACACCACCTGCCATACACAAACACAGACAATGGCTCCTGCTCAGAGAGGTCATTTGACCATCAGCTACCCTAGAACCAAAGTGAGGAGGCCATTAGATCCAAGACCCAACTTTTCAAGCATATGGAGAAAAAGAGAGCAGCTGAGGTCTTGTCTCATGCCAGGTGGGGAGGAGCCTCCCAGTCTGTAGCCTCGGCCCTCCAACCCTCACCCTGACATCTGTCTAGCCACTGGGGACCCCTTCAGGCCCAAGGTCCAAGGTCTAAGATTGGCGGGAGTTCAAAGAAAGGTTTTTTTGTTTGTTTGTTTGTTTTTGAGACAAAGTCTTGCTCTTGTCCCCCAGGCTGGAGTGCAACGGCGCGATCTTGGCTCACTGCAACCTCTGCCTCCCAGGTTCAAGCAATTCTCCTGCCTCAGCCTCCCAAGTAGCTGGAATTACAGGCACCTGTCACCATGCCTGGCTAATTTTTGTGTTTTTAGTAGAGACAGTGTTTCGCCATGTTGGCCAGGCTGGTGTCGAACTCCTGACCTCAGGTGATCTGCCCTCCTCGGCCTCCTAAAGTGCTGAGATTACAGGCGTGAGCCACCACACCCAGCCCAAAGAAAGGTTTTAACTTTAGGGCTGCAGAGAGAGACCTTGTTAGGACATATAGACACGTCTGAATGACTGCTGAGATCTGCAAATTGTAACCCTCCAGGCTCTTGGCCGCTGGAAGATGGACATGGATCTGTGGTTTACACTTGCCAGCCCAGGTCTGAACTCTCAAGCCAGGCAGTCTTCTTGCATGCGGACTTCACCCTGCAGATCAGTAGTGTCCAATACAGCAGCCACTGGCCACATGCGGCTATTGAACACTTAAAATGTGGCTGCTCCAAATTGAGATGGGCTGTAAGTGTTAAAATTCATGCCAGATTTTCAAGACTTAGTTAGAAAAAAAAAAAAAGGATAAAATATTTCAACCATTTTTATACTGATGGTATGTTGAAATGAGAATATTGTATATATTGGGTTAAATAAAATATATCATTATCATTAATTTCACCTGTTACTTTCTTACTTTTTAAATGTGGCTGCTGGAAATTTTTAAATTACGTGTGTGGTTTGCATTTCTCTTTTCTCTCTCTCTCTCTCTCTCTCTCTCTCTCTCTCTCTTTTTGAGACGGAGTCTCACTCTTGTCGCCCAGGCTGGAGTGCAATGGCGCAATCTTGGCTCACTGCAACCTCCGCCTCCTGTATTCAAGCGATTCTCCTGCCTCAGCCTCCTAAGTAGCTGGGACTACAGGTGCCCGTTACCATGCCCAGCTAATTTTTTGTATTTTTAGTAGAGACGGGGTTTCACCATGTCACCCAGGCTGGTTTCAAACTCCTGACCTCAGGTGATCCGCCCACCTCAGCCTCCCAAAGTGCTGGGATGACAGGTGTGAGCCACCGCGCCTAGCCTGCATTTCTATTTCTATTTCTACTGGATAGCACTGCGGTAGAGCTTCACCAGCGGCTAGCTGGCTGGGTCTCAGCAGTCCTAGAGCTGGTGCCTCCATTACACAGATGAGGAAACCAAGGTTCAGTGTACAGCCAACTCAGGAGAAGTGCTTGGGTCAAAGGAGTGAGTTCCCTTTGCTGTAACCTGTTGGCTGTAATCAGGAGCTGTGGCCTCACCCACTCATGACCTCCACTCTCCTGGGATGTTTACGCTTACCTCGGGGGTACCACAGAACGTGGATGTGGTCTCTTCAGGCTCTACACCTTCCTTGCAGAGGCCAAAATCCGTCAGCACCACGTGTCCCTGAGAATGAGGGAGGGCATGGGCCGGAGGGTGGTATGAGGGTGGCCAAGGGTATGGCCAGGCCTAACCCCAAAACCCAGATGTCACACCCCAGGGCAGCAGCTGTGGGATCTGATGCCCAGGCACAGACTGGAGGCTCCACACCAACCCAGGGGTCCTCGACTGGATGCCGGCAACATCACAGGGGGCCAGGTGGGCACAGGTGTTCCACTCTCTGCCCACAGCTCATCACAAACTCAGAGCCACCCCTACAACAGTGGCAGCTTCAGGATGCCCTTGTGGACAGAAACCCCCTAGACAGATGCTGGGGACTCAGAAAGCAATCGCACTTTGTGGCAGCTGGGCAGGAAGGTAGAGTGAGTAGATACTGTGGGGTTCTGCCCGGATCCCTGAAACCAGCGTACAGAAGAACCATGCCTATCCCCATCCCCCTGCTGCCAGAACATTGCCCGCACCCAAAGTTATGCCCCCTCCTTAGGAGCAATCCATGTCCGGAGGCACAAAGGCCCATCCTCTTTGCCTCACTTTGGGACAATCCTAGAGAGCCATCCTGGCTTAGGCCCTCCCCACCCCTGCAAGATCAGCTGAGGCTCCACTGGCAACCACAGGTGAGCTTCTTCCTTTGCCCAATCCTGTTTTTTCACCCCTTTAAAAGTGTTATCTCTTGAGAATGTTCCTCAACAAAGCTTCTGCCTCCTCTCCATCTCAGAGTCTGTTTCCATGGAGCCCAGTCTAAGACAAACTCCACCAGCCCCTACCTGGCTCCACCCCTGCCCCTTGTATACATGCATGCACATATATACATGTACAGTCTCATGTGCACATATGCATGTGTGTACATGTGCATGGGCACACACGCACATATATGCTCAAATGCCTCCTTTACCTATATGCATGCATGTACAATGCATGCACATCCATGCACACAGACTCATGGTCAGATAGTGTACCTGTGCAACCACGTCCACACACACACGTGCACACACACGCACACACACACATACACGCGCACGCACACACACACACCAACCTGGCAGTCCAAGAGAATGTTCTCTGGTTTCAGGTCCCTGCAGAAAATAAGAGAAAAGAGCCTTGAGGTGTCTCAGTCCTTTAGTGAGGAGAGTTGGAGACCTGGTGGCGGGGTGGTCCTGGCAGGAGAACTATTCATGGAGGTTCCCAGAGACGCAGAGGGAGAGCCCAGGAAGCCTGGGCACTTGGACCTCAGAGGAGGAGACTCCAACCCCACCCAAAACAAAGGACCAACTCCACCAGGATTTCATCAGGTTTTAGGGTCCACACAACCCCTAGCTGTTGGAGCAAGAAGAACCTGGTCCTGGCTCTGAGCCACAGGCAGGCCTCACCTGTAAATGATGTTGAGGGAGTGCAGGTAGCCAATGGCGCTGGCCACCTCGGCAGCGTAGAACCTGGCCCGGGGCTCCAGGAACCGGCGCTCCCGCTGCAGGTGGAAGAAGAGCTGGAGGGGAGGAGGAGTGTGAGAGGATTTACTGGGTGGCTACTATAGGGTTAAGGCGCACCTGCTCCCTGCCCTGTGCAGCTGCCCAGCTCACTCCCTCTCTGACCTGCAGCATCTTCCTACCAAAAGAGTTCATGCTGGCCCTTGCCCCACACAGCAGTCCCGGGTGTCCAAAGAGTCAGCAGAAGAAGAGATGAGTTAGAATTGCTTAAGCACCTCCTGTGTTCCAGGCTCCAAGTCAGGCCTTTCCACATCTTTTATTTAATCCTCATGACAACCTTCAAGGTACAAATGTCATGCTAGTTTCATGTAAGAGGAAGCTAAGAAGGGTCAGAATGGTTAGGCGACTTGCTCAAGGTCACATAGCTTATAATGGGCAGAGCTGGCATTTGAACCTGCGTGGTTCAAAGACACGCTTTTCCATCAATCCAGGCGATGAGATGATATGGCTGTCAGACTGAGCCCAGGTTAGATCCACCCATGGGCCAATGTTTTTGGACTATTTTGCTGGCATGAAAAGCCCTTCACTTATGGATGCAGGACAAAAACCCCCCTCTTGGCATCATTCTGAAAGGCATGAGGTCACTCAGGTTAAATCTGGGGTCACTGAGTAGAGCCCCACTACATTTTGCCATCTTTTTTTTTTGAGACAGAGTCTCGCTCTGTCGTCCAGGCTGGAGTGCAGTGGCCGGATCTCAGCACACTGCAAGCTCCACCTCCTGGGTTCACGCCATTCTCCTGCCTCAGCCTCCTGAGTAGCTGGGACTACAGGCACCCGCCACCTTGCCTGGCTAGTTTTTTGTATTTTTTAGTAGAGACGGGGTTTCACCGTGTTAGCCAGAATGGTCTCGATCTCCTGACCTCGTGATCCGCCCATCTCGGCCTCCCAAAGTGCTGGGATTGCAGGCGTGAGCCACTGAGCCCGGCCCATTTTGCCATCTTGACCAGAGAGACAGAGTGAAGCCCAGGAGGGAGCCCCGCTTGTCCCAACTGTGCTTCTGGGTCACCAGGTGGCCTCAGGTCTCTGTTTACCAGAGTGACGAGTCAATCCCATCCTGTGCCCTATGGGGCAAAATGGGAGCACTAGAAACCTTGACCACGAGCTCCTCTTAGCATTGACCTTTCCTGGGTTTATCAAAGTGTGTCCGTGGGCAACTCTGAATGAGGAAGGCAAGAAAGCATTATGGTGGGCAGTCTAACAGATGTGAATTCAAGTCCTGACTCTATCAGGTATGGCTGGGTGGCCTTGAGCAAATGATTACCTCCCTGAACCTCAGTTTCTTCAGCTACAAAATGGGTCTATTGTAAGATGAGGTGAGATCATTCCAGAACTTGGCATGCAGTGGGCATGCGGGATGGACAGCTCCCAGCCGAGAGCCCGCCCAGAGAAGCCTCCCTGTGGGCCCACCCACCTCTCCCCCGTTGACATAGTCGAGCACGAAGTAGAGCTTCTCAGGTGTCTGGAAGGAGTAGCGCAGGCCCACGAGGAAGGGGTGCCGCACATTCTTCAGAAGTACACTGCGCTCTGCCATGATGTGACTCTGCTGTAGAGTCACAAAGAGAGGGGTCCATGTCACAGCCCACAACCACCCCTTTTATCCCAGCACAGCCCATACAAGCTTGTGGGTGGGAGTCATCCCACTCAGGACTTTCTCATGCCTCTGCTCAAACACCCACAATGGCTCCCTATTGCCCTCAGAGCCAGGCCCAAGTTCCTTGCTTAGTATTCAGGGCTCAGGGTGGTCAGCCTCATCCTAAGCTAGTCTATGTGGGCACAGCTCTAGCCCCTGGATCAGAGCTTCTTGCCCCTGGAGTGAAAAGCAAAGCATGTGTGATGCCTCACATAAATGAGTTCCTAAGGGAAAGAAGCCACGCACTATCCATGGTCACACATTTGCTCGTGATATTTCCTCTTCTTGGATGTTGCACCCTCTTTTCAGACCATCAGAATCCCACCATCAAGGCCAGCTGCACCGCTGCCTTCCTCAGGAAAACCTCCCATTCCCACTCCCTGTGGAGACCTTGTTAACATTAATCACCCTTTTCTCTGAGTCCCCTGATCTCCTATGCAATCCTCCCTCTGGGCCTGCTCTGGCCTACTAATGGAGGCAGGTGTTAAAGGAACTTAGGTCAGCTGAGGCATCAAGAAATCCACGATGGGGCTGAGTGTGGTAGCTCATGCCTGTAATCCCAGCACTTTGGGAGGCTGAGGCCAGCGGATCTCTTGAGGCCAGGAGCCTGATCAACTTGGCAAAACCCCATCTCTACTAAAAATACAAAAATTAGCCAGGAGTGGTGGCAGGTGCCTTTAATCTCAGCTACTCAGGAGGCTGAGGCACGAGATCACTTGAACCCAGGAGGTGGAGGTTGCAGTGAGCTGAGATCATGCCATTGCACTCCAGCCTGGATGACAGAACAAGACTCTGTCTCAACAACACAAAAAGAAGTCCATGATGTGCTGCGCATGTAACTCATGCCTCTAATCCCAGCATTTTGGGAGGCTGAGACGGGAGGATTGCTTGAGCCCAGGAGTTTGAGGCTGCAGTGAGCTGTGATTGCACTACTGCGCTCCAGTCACATGGCCTGATGGCATGAAGGCCTTCAGAGAGAAGAAAGTGAGGCTCCACATTATACAGATGGGGAGCCTGGCACTGGGAACGGGCAGAAGACTTGTCCGTCGTGGAGCCTGCGTTTCCCAGGGGAAGGCAAAGCCAGGCTGGTTTTCCTGAAAGCCTGTGGTGAGGTGGCTCGGCCTGCTCTCTTTGAGAAGGGCCAGCATCCTGCATACCGCCTGCCCTCTACCCTTTGTTGTGACCACCTCTGCACCCAGCCCCATGGACCTGTCAGAGGTGGGACCCATCTTTGAAAGCCACCCTAGGCTGGGGTTTGAGAAGCAGAAGAAGAAACGCCTGTGCCTGAGCCCTGGTACCTCTTTCTTCTTTAAGATGGACTTTTTCTGCAGCACCTTCACTGCATAGAACGTTCCATCAGACTTGCGCTTGGCCAGCAGGACCTGAGCAGAAACACGAATTTGAGGCCCTGTAGGTGACTTTGGACTTTCCAACAGCAGTACGAAGCCTCCTGCCTGTCCCTGCTTTTGTCTGCAGGTACAAGAGCTCTCTCTTCACACATACAAGTGGCAGCAGGGGCTGAAAGAGGCTGCAGAAGGGAAGACCCAGGTTTCCCACCCTCACCAAGTCACTCACCTTCCCGTAGTTCCCTTTGCCGATGACTTTGAGGAAGTCGAAGTCCGTGGGCCGGGCACTGGAGGAAGAGGGAAAAACATGCATCAGCATTTGCAGGTCTGGAAAGCTGGTGCCTGAGAACAAACCCGGGCTTCTTTTTAACTTTAGAGTGGGGAAATACAGAGAGCCTTCCAGCAGCCATGCCTCCTCACCCCTGAAGAACCCCATGTTCTCCCAGCCGAGAGAGGGCTTGTAAGATTCACCCTGGCCCCAGGGGAACTCAAATTCAAATTAAACAATAGGCAGAGTGGAGATAAAACCAGACACACTGCACAGAAGGCCTGCATAGAAGGCAGGGTTCTGGTACCCAAAGCCCCTGAGTAGGGCCTGAAGTGTAGGGAGTTGCTAACAATGCAGACATTTCGGGGGCATTGCCGGAAGAGGGTTCAGCATGGGCAGAGGCTGGGGAATTCGTGGGAGACAAAGCTGGGGAAAGGTCCTGGGCCCAGATGGCAGAGAGTATTGAATATTAGACCAGATAATTTGAATTTTATTCCCAAGGCAAGGGGAGCCAGGTATGAGGGGAGTCAAGTAGGAACGGTGCTTGAGGGACCAGAACTCACTTTGGGTTGGCTGAAGGCCCCAGGTTGATGTTCCCATTGGCCTTGGAGGGCTAAAGAAAGAAGTGATTACGATCAGCAGATCCCTGCTCCCTGGCTACTTCCCTTTCTCCTAGCCCAGGCCCTGATCCCTTCTCCAACAACTCTACTAGGCCCGCCTGCCTTTTTCTTTTTTTTGCCTGCCCACCTGCCCGCCTCCTTGCCTCCCTCCCTCCTTCTACCCACCCACCAATCCACTTATCCACCATCTTACCCACTTCTCAAAACAGCCTTGGGAGGCAGCTGGCTGTTGTGCTGAGTAGCTGAGGAAACTGAGGCCCAGAGAGGAGTTGCCCACGGTCTCACAGGCAACCAGGTTGGGATAGAACCCAGGTGTCTTCATGACAAATCCCATGATTTTTCTAGTCCATCTTGAAGCCCTATTTCAAATCTCTCCCCTATTCACCATGCAAGTGGCTCATTTCTATGTGCTCACAGTGATCCTCAGAGCCCCCGACATTGTCTGGGACAGCCCATGGGGCTAGTGGGTGTCTCCACAGATTTCCTTAGCCTCAGGAGGAAGTGAGCTCCCTGATGATGAGTGGGGGACCAAGAACCACTCACCTGTGGACTGGTGGTCCCAGCTGGGCTAGAGTTCATTCTGTAGCAATGATCAGGCCGCTCTGGGGGGACAGGGAGGAGCAGGCATGAGAGAGCTGGTGTTGTGGGGTCAGCTCTGCCCATCCAGGGCTTCAGGCACCACTGCCCTCTCCATCCTCCCCTACCTGTGCACCTGCCACCACCTGAGGGTTTCCTACCCCAGAGGTAGGAACAAACCTATGCATGGATGGAACAAACAAGGATATTCCCCAGACCCAGACTTTCTAACAAACATCTCAGAAGGGATAAAGGGGGATAGTCAGACAGTGGCCCTCCCAGGCTGATTCTTTTCAAGAACTGGGGATACCCAGGGCAGCAAGACCCCTGTGAGCCAGGGTAGTCCCAGAAGTCCCAGATGGCCAGGGCTGGAAGGACCTTTTCAGGGCATAAAGTCTGAACCCTTCCCCCATTTCACGGGTGGAAGGCCTCTGGCCTAAAAAACGACCTTCCTAAGTCCACACAGCCTTGTGAAGGCATAGGCTGGGCTCTCCGGACTCCCACGGAGGAACAATGGCAACCCGCAATTACTGTGCGCATTGGCAGCTGGGCTCTGTGCTACGATCTCCTCGCCACAGGGAATTCTGCCCAACGCCTCAGGAAAGGCAACTGCCGTGGAAGCCCTGGGCTGGGGCCGTAGAGACCCAAGACTGGCCAGTATCTATTCGGGGCCAAACAACAGAAGGTGTGACCAGCTGATCTATGTGGCCAGGAATAGTGTTTTCCTTGTTCCACCCTGCAGGGGAGAGGAGGCCAGGGTGCCCAGGCCCCGCCACAGATCGCTTGGGGTCCCACAGCCTCATCCTTGCTTGGCAAAGGCTGAGAGCAGAGAGCTCACCGGAGAGCCCAGCTGCTGTGCATCTCAGGACCTTAGTCTTGGCCCACTGTGGGGCCTGGGCTGCAGCCCAGCCTCTCTGAGTAGAGATTTCCTATCTTTACAAGGCAGGTCCTGGAGGCACCAACCTCATGGCCTTCTTGGGAACAGAGAAAGTGAAGGGGACTTGAGAGGATCCCCCATCAGCCCCTCTCAGGCTTGCCCCAGCCCTGCCAAGCCCTAAGAGCAAGCCGCAGAACTGCTAAGGAAGTGCAGCCTGCCCCTAGCCAATGCCGGACATGTGTGCTCCTGCAAACAGCCCACAACACGGCCACACCCTCTCTTGGGCTGACCCCAGTGGCCCTTCTGCCAGGACCTGGCCTCCCTGGTCCCACATACCTGCGAGTCTGAGGAGAGGCCTCTAGGAGAACCAGCGGTTGGAACCGAAGACAGGCAGTGGACAAGAGAGCCTCTCTCTGTTCTCCCAACAAGGGCCTAAGTGTCTGTGCCCGGTGCCGGCCTGGCCCCAGCACAGAGCTCACAGCTCCCGGCAGCCGCGAGGGGGCTGGTTGATGTCACGAGGGATCCAGCAGAGCTTAAGATGGGACTGGAGACTTCTGTTCCCTGGGGGACACCATCTTACCCTGGCGGGGATGGTGGGAGGGGTGGGCAGTAGCCCCAGGGGAGCCCTGGAGACCCTTGGGGCTTGTTAGACTGTGTGGGTCCCGGTGTGTGCGGCATGGTATGTACTGTGTGAGTGTTCTGTGCATTCCGTGCTTCCACGTGTGTCTGTCTGTGGCTCTGTATTTCAGGTATTTGTGTCCGTTTGTATGAGTCTGCGCAGATGATTGCATGTATGCATCAGTGTGACCACAGTTGTACAATCACATCAGCGTATGTCTGTGCATCTGTGCCTGTGTGTATCACTGTACCGCTCAGTGTGTGTGGTGTGTATATGGATGTGTTTCAGCGTGTCTCTGTGTAGTACATGTCAGTGTGTATCTTTGTATGTGAATGTGCTGTGTCAGTGTGTGTATGCGGGTGGAGTGCGAGTCTGTGTGGATGTCTGAAGGTGTGTGTTCAGAGCAGTCTGGGCATCTATTAATATGTGTGTATAGGTAAGTCATTGTGTGTCTGTGTTCATATTGGTGTATATCAGTAAATTTACTCTGGGGTGTGTGTGTGTGTGTGTGTGTATGCACGTGCATGCGTGCGTGTAGGGAGCCTGTGTATATGAACCCTGTGGAGACCATCTGGAGCTGAAGAAGAGGTCCCACAGAGGTCAGCCATGGCAGCTGAGACCCCTTCGCCTCCCAGAAACCTGCAGATGTTTCAGAGGAAGGAACCTGGAGCCTGGGTGTCTAGCTCAGTCCAGGCTGCCTTGGTCTTTGCTGAGCACTTGGTCCTTTGGGCCTTTCCCTGCGGTCCCCTCAAGGGCTCTGGCCCAGTCCTCAGGGCAGGCCTGGTTGGCCCACAGCTGTCCTGCTGTGTAAGAAATGGTCCCAGAGAGCCCCCTGGCTCAGGAAGGCCTTGCTTCCTGGGGCAATCATTAAGTACTCACAGGGTCCCTTCCTCTCCCCAGGACCCGAGGGGTGGGCAGGTGTTCTGGGGAATAAAGGAGTTGATGGCCCACAGCCCCTGCCCTTCTCGAACTTTTTGTGTGGCTACAGTCTACTGCAGGGGAGGGACACATGGGGCTAGGACCCAGAAAGTTGGTCACGGACAGAACTGAGCCCAGTGGCCTCAGGGGTTCTCTGTGGGCTCTGAAATGCAGAGGATCTGGAAGTGTTGACCAGAGAAAACCTGAGTGCACAGTATCAAAGCCTTCCATCTTGAACAAAATAGAAATGTGGAACCAGTTCATGATGAGCAGGATGTCATGTTGACAAAACACATACCCAGAACAAGGACATTTCTTTTTAAAAACAAGATCCTGATGTGGCCTTCATTCAGCAGCACTATTTATAACAGCAAAATAATTGTGCTAATAGTAACTTAAGTGTCCCACCACAGGGCACTTCAGAACACTTGCTGGCTGCAAGAGCTCCCTCTCTTGACCATACACCGTGTCCAGATACTGTCCCATTTCTTTGTGTCCCTTTTCAGCTAAACTCCTCTGAAGAGTTGTCTGGACTCCTTGTCTCCACTCCTCTTCCTGTTCTCTTTTGAGCCCATTCCAAACAGGCTGTCATCCCAACACTTCAATGAAACCGTGGACCAGTGACCTCTATGTGCCAAAGCCAGTGATGAGTTCCTCATCCTCATCTTACTCAACTTCTCTGAAGAATATGGTGTGCTCACGTTCCCCATTTGGCTTCAGGAACTCTTGGTTTTCCTTCTAGCTCACTGACTGCTCTTCCTCCATCTCTCATGCTGGATTTTCCTCCTTTTTTTATCCTTAAACACAGGCCTATCCCAGGGCTTAGTCTTTGGGCCTCTGTCTACACATACTTGTTCTTTAGTTGATCGCTACCATTTTAATGGTTTAACCAACTATACTTGTCAATTCCCAAATATCTCTCTCTCATTCTAATTCCCTTTCTTACTTTTCTTTTCTTTTCTTCTTTTTTGAGACAGAGTCTTGATCTGTCACCCAGGCTGGAGTGCAGTGGCAGTATCTCAACTCATTGCAAACTCTGCCTCCCAGGTTCAAGTGGTACTCCCAACTCAGCCTCCCAAGTATCTGGGACTACAGGCCCCGCCACCATACTCGGCCAATTTTTGTATTTTTTTTTAAGTAGAGATAGGATTTCACCATGTTGGCCAGGCTAGTCTTGAACTCCTGATCTCAAGTGATGTGCCTGCCACGGCCTCCCAAAGTGCTGGGATTACAGGCGTGAGCCACCACGCCCAGCCTAGTTCTGATTCTTTCCTGAACTCTGTACTTAAATATTTAACTGCTTCCTTGACAATTCACTAGTTAGATGTCTAGAGGCATCTCAATCTTTTTTTTTTTTTTTTTAAGAAAGAGTCTCACTCTGTCGCCCAGGCTGGAGTGCAATGGCACAATCTCGGCTCACTGCAACCTCTGCTTTCTGGTTCAAGTGATTCTCATGCCTCAGCCTCCCGAGTAGCTGGGATTACAGGCGCCTGCCACCGCGCCTGGCTAATTTTTGTATTTTTAATAGAGACTGGGTTTCACCATGTTGGCCAGACTGGTCTTGAACGCCTGACCTCATGTGATTCACCCTGCCTCCAAAGTGCTGGGATTACAGGTGTGAGCCACCACGCCCGGCCAAAGCATCTCAATCTTTTTTTTTTTTTTTTTTGAGACATGGTTTAGCTCTGCAGCCCAGGTTAGAGTGCAGTGGAGTGATCTAGGCTCTCTGCAATCTTGACTTCCCCGGCTCAAGCCATCCTCCCACCTCAGCCTCCCAAGTAGCTGGGACTATAGACACACAATACCAGGCTTAGCTAATTTTTTTTGTACTTTTTGTAGAGACAGGGTTTCACCATGTTGCCCAGGCTGGTCTTGAACTCATGAGCTTAAGCGATCCTCCTGCCTCGGCCTCCCAAAGTGCTGGGATTACAGGTATGAGCCTCCGTGCCTGGCTGGTATCTTGAACTTAACATGTCCGAAACAAAGGTCTTGACTCATATTCCTTCTACTCTGCCCCAGTCTGTTCCTCCCTCAGTCTTCAGCCTCAATAATGGCACTACTGCCTACTCGAAAGTTCAAGCCAGCAACTTTGAGGTCATTCTGGAAAGGCTGCACCCTCACTCCACTTCCACTCCACCATGAAATTCCATTCACAATATATCCAGAAACCACTGCTGCTCACCATCATTGCTGAAACCGCCCTGCCTGAGCCCCCATCGTCACTTGCATGGATTATTGCAATAGCTTCTCCACTGACTCCCTGCTTCTCCACTTACCCACTACAATCTTTCTCCATGAAAAGCCACAGTGAGTCTTAAAATGTAAATCAGATTATGTACCTCAGTTGCTCAAAAACTCCAGCACTTTCTCATCACACCTAGAATAAAAATCCAAAGCCTCAGCTGGGCGTGGTGGCTCATGTCTGTAATTCCAGCACTTTGGGAGGCCAAGGCGGGCAGATCACGAGGTCAAGAGATCGAGACCATCCTGGCCAACATGGTGAAACCCCGTTTCTACTAAAAATACAAAAATTAGCTGGGCGTGGTGACATGTGCCTGTAGTCCCAGCTACTCAGGAGGCTGAGGCAGGAGAATGGCTTGAACCCAGAGGCAGAGGTTGCAGTGAGCTGAGATCGTGCCACTGCACTCCAGCCTGGTGACAGAGCAAGACTCTGTCTAAATAAATAAATAAATAAATAAATAAATAAAATCCAAAGCCTCTACCATGGTTTATGAGATCCATATGACCTGGCTGCTGTCTCCATCTCCTCCTCGGCTTCCAGTCCTCTGCTTCCTGACTGCCCTCAGCCTCTCTGCTTTCTCTTGCTGTCCCTGAAACACACTACTCTCTGGCCTCCAGCCTCTTGCACGTAGCTTTCCCTCTGCCTACGACACTCTTCCCCCAGGCATCTGCATGGCTGTTTTCCACTAATGTCATAGAGGTTTCTGCTTAAAAGTCACCTCTTGGAGAGGCTTGTACTGATTACGGGTGACAGGTCATCCTGGTTTGTCTGGGACTGATGGGTTTCAGTGCTAAAACCGCTACAGTCCTGGGCCAACCAGGATGGTTAGTCACTCTGATACCAGTCCTGCTCATTCCCCATACACTTTGTCTACTTTATATTTTACTCTGTAGCACTGATACCTTATCCTGTAACTATTAGTTTTTATTTTCTATCTCCAACTAGAACATCAGCTCCAGGAGGGCAAATACTTCCTGTTCAACTATTGTATCCTCAGCACTGAGCACAGGGCCTGGAATATAGTAGGTGCCCGGTACATATTTGGCTATTGAATCGATAAATGAATTGATAAATGTTGGTACATATATAAAGTGGAAAATTACACAACCAAAAACTATATAAAACCTATATAAACCGAAACAGGAACATATACGTGATACAATATCAAGCAAAAAACCAAGTTTCAAAATAGCAGTTGTTGTAGGGGTACCAATTTTATAAAAGAAAAACAAAAGACACGTATGCACGCACACATTTGTGAGTACAGCTGCCAAAAAAAGACTGGAAGGTCACGACCCAAGGTAACAGCGGGTTCTTAGGTTAGGTTATTTTAACTTTTTTTTTTTTTTTTAAGATGGAGTCTCACTCTGTTACCCAGGCTGGAGTGCAGTGGCGCAATCTCTGCTCACTGCAACTTCCGCCTCCTGGGTTCAAGCGATTCTCTGTCTCAGCCTCCCCGGTAACTGGGATTACAGGCATGTGCACAACACCCAACTAATTTTTCTATTTTTAGTTGAGAGGAGGTTTCACCATGTTGGTCAGGCTGGTCTCGAACTCCTGACCTCAGGTGATCTGCGTGCCTTGGCCTCCCAAAGTGTTAGGATTACAGGTGTGAGCCACCGCGCCTGGCTGGTTATTTTAAATTTTATCTTTGTACTATTGTGTAAAGCTTCTCAAGATATTGCTGTTGAGTTAATATTCAAGTACTAAGTTTTGGGTGGGAACCTGGCATGCCCATGGCCCATCACACCCTCCCCCATCACCTTGACTGTGACCCCTATGCTTAAGCAGCTCTCAGTTCCTAAGGCTTTCTTCTCTCTTGCACCACGGTGTTCTAATTTTCTGGCCAGAAGCTGGACATCAATATATTCTCCTAACTCTTCAGACTCCGCGAACTCCCACTCAAGCCCCTCCATGAGTCCTCAAGCCTGTCCCTTTCCTAACTTGCCACAGCCCAGATTTGCCTCCCTCGGTCCCATTGTTACATGGAGCTGCTTACCAGCTCCCTAGTCCTGTCAAATGGGGTGTGGGGGTGTGACAGTGTCACACAGTTCTCTCTCCTTGGAACATTCCCCAACAAACCTGGTCTTTCCAGCTCACCTTTTCATCTGTTCTCATTGCCTTTCCTGGAAGCCAGATGACCCGCCGACCCCATGCGCCCTCTCCTGCTGCTGTCCCTGTCTTCACTGTAACTTGTTCATTTATACACCTGCCCAGTTCAAGCGCCAGCTTCATCTTATTTTGTTCCCACAACCCCATGGGTTAGGAACTATCATCGTCCCTGTTTTAAGAAACTGAGGCAAGGAGAGGGAAGTGACATGATCAAGACAGTTAATAAATGACATAACCAGGATTTGAACCCAGGCCATCTGACTGCAGAGCCCATGACCTGGAATTTCAGGAAGACAATAGAAAGCTAGAAAAGGAAAAAATGAAGTTAGTGGGAAGGAAGCGAGGATGTAAGTTGGTTAGTTAAGGAGAAAGAAAATTAGACAGCTGAGAAAGCAGATAGTTGGGAGGGAAGGAAGGAAAGGAAGGAGGGAGAAGGGAAAGAAGTTGGGAAGAAAGAAAGGAAGGAAAGAAAGTCAACAAGTACTAGGAAAGATGTTAGCTAGGAAACTAGTCAATTTGGAGACCAATAGGCCAGCAGGCAGGTATCCTGCTCACAGGTGAGCCTCTCACCTGAAAACTCCAGGTTCCAGCTCAGGTCCTGGGGAGCAGCCCCTTACACGGCTCTGCCCTCTTCTCTCTCTTCATGGTCCTTCTGACTGGAGGCACAATCCTGACTTGTCGAGCAACCTTCCCAATCAGGAACGACCTGTCACCCACTCGCTCCTGGCTCCCAAACCGGCTCAAGTTCAACCTCCCAGCCCTGCCTGCTGGAAGCTGGCTTCAGGGCCTTCCAGTTACTAATTAACAACTGGACCTGAATTACCAAGCTGGCTGCACCCACTGGCTCCTGGATGGGCACTGCCTGGGGGACTCTCTGAATTTTTAAAAGCACAACTTGTCATGTGACCATGGGTAACTGACTTCAGCTCCCGGAGCCTCATGTGAATTGCTGATGGATGTTGTGTCCTGCTGGAGGGAGGGTCTCTGAAGTCCCTTTCAACACTGGAACTGCCGCACTCTCTCAAGGTCCAGCTTAAATGCTGACTCCTACACAGCCTTCCCTGATTCCCTCCGCTGAGTCATCTTCCCTTTCGCTTGGAACCTAGTGAACCAGCAACTGAAAGGTTGGTCTCACACAACTCTCTCCTCCACCCCTTCCCTAATGGGGGCCACCAGCCTCTATGTTCAGTCCTTTCATGGCAACTTCCAGGGCTGGGCAGTTCATTTCCCCCTGAGCCAGCCTCTGGCAATTTCTTGTGTTAAGCCAAAGACTGCCACCCAGAGCCTACCCAACCTAGCACTGCCCTGGCACCGTTCGGGGAAAATCACAGCTGAGTTGAAACCTATGCCCCACTCTGCCCTTCAGAGATTTGAGGCTTAGGAACCAGAGATTAGCTCACCCTGGAGAACAGGGAAGGCTTTCTTGGGGGTTGACCCAAAGCGTCCCAGGCCCTGGGTTCTTTTGTTTTTTGAGACGGAGTCTCGCTCTGTTACCCGGGCTGGAGTGCAGTGGCATGATCTCGGCTCACTGCAAGCTCCGCCTCCCGGGTTCATGCCATTCTCCTGCCTCAACTTCCCGAGTACCTGGGACTACAGGCGCCTACCACGCCACCACGCCTGGCTAATTTTTGTGGTTTTAGTAGAGATGAGGTTTCACCATGTTAGCCAGGATGGTCTCGATCTCCTGACCTCGTGATCCGCCCACCTTGGCCTCCCAAAGTGCTGGGATTACAGGTGTGAGCCACCGTGCCTGGCTGGCCCTGGGTTCTAATTGGACCCCTGGACAGGTAAGGAAAGCTCTGCCCTGTGACCCCTCCTCAGCAGGCTGACTTTCACATTGCTTCTTCCATTGCCTTTCCATTAAAATGTCAACAACTTTCTGGTAATTCTGGTGCCTTAAACACTGGCTGCTCTGCTGTGCTCTGGAGGAGCCCTGCATGGCCACACACCCCACCTCCACCAACATACATAGCAGCAGGTGTCTGGCCCTGGTCCAGGTAGGGGAGGTGGCTGGCCCAAGTGCACAGAGCAAATCAGGGCAGCACACAAGGTCCTGCCCTTTTCCAGAGCTCCTGCTGCTGCTGCTGCTGTGCCACCAAGCTCCTTCTCCCCTGCTCTTCCAGAGCTGGTTAAAAAACACCCCACATACTGGCATTGGTTGCATAAAGTGTATCAACTAATTCTAACTTACAGAAGAATGTCAAATAAAAAGTGAAAGCTTTCCCTCCAGCCCATCTTCAATCTCCTTTCCAGAGGTAGCTGCTGTTAACTAAAGGGTGACAATCGGGCCGGACACAGTGGCTCACGCCTGTAATCGCAGCACTTTGGGAGACCGAGGAGGGCGGATCATGAGGTCAGGAGATCGAGACCATCCTGGCTAACTCGGTGAAACCCCGTCTCTACTAAAAATACAAAAAGCCGGGTGTGGTGGCAGGCGCCTGTAGTCCCAGCTGCTCGGGAGACTTAGGCAGGAGAATGGCATGAACCTGGGAGGCGGAGCTTGCAGTAAGCTGAGATCACACCACTGCACTCCAGCCTGGGAGGCACAGTGAGACTCCATCTCAAAAAGAAAAAAAAAAAAAAAAGAAAGGGTGACAATCCTTCCAGACTTTTGTCTATGTCTTAATCTATATATATTAATCTGTATGTATTAATCTATATAACTGCGTCCATTCTTTTCCAGAAAATGGTCCATCAGTAATTCACTTTTTTTCATATATACATCTTTTAAGCAGCTGCACCACACTTCAGTGTGGGGTTTTCACTACCCCTATTCCCTATTCACTGTTCCTTCTGATGGACATTTAGACTGTCGGCAGTTTCACAATATTTCCAACAAGGCTGCAGAGAACCTCTCTGCTTTAATATCCTGTGGCCTTCTGCTAGTATTTCTAACAGATAAACTCTTGTACATGTGAGTGCTGGGTTAATTATGAACTATCTACCAAATTATTATAACAAGTTGTGCCAACCAACGTGGCTAGCAGCAGTGCTGAACTTGCCCTTCCCCCTCAGTGATACTGCAGGAAATGGCCAAGGTCACTCGTGCAGATATGTGCAGATAGTCCACTGCAGATATGCGTCTCCTTCCCATCTTCCTCTCTTCCTTCTTTCCCCTCCCACCCTCCCTGGCTGGACTTTGTTGTTTGGGTATGAAGGTCAAAGCCCTGTTCTCAGGCATAAGGGGAAAGCAAGAGACTTAACCAATGGAAATCCACCTCCAGAAATGTTTCCTGGACTTTGACATTCCTCAGCCCACTTTTCTGTCCTTAGTCTGGCTCCAGCCCTATTCCCACCCCCAGCCCCAGCTGCAGATTCACCCATAGGCAAAGGGAATAACAGACACAGGGCCACCAGAGAAAAATCTGTTATCCACATGGGCTAAGAGAAAGACTCTTGGGCAAACATAGCCCAGATATGGGCCCCAGTTTCCTTTTTGGAAACATTTTTAGAAAGTAGTAAGTGTACAAAGTGTAAAATCAAATAATGAAAAAGATCAGTTCCTTGCCCCATTTCTCATCTTTTTAAGCTGCTTTCCTTGGTATTTACCTCCATATATCTTAATAGTCTTATACTTCTATTCTTCCATCTTTCAGTTTAAAACATTTTCAAGTGGTTTCTTTACTACTATAGAATATGAATACTTAGATTATGCCCATGCAAACACACACTTCAGCTTTTCCTGAATTTACAGTTGCTTCATTTGGTTTTAGAAATTGAACATATTCAATATATATAATTATTAGAGAATTATATATAATTATGTGTACATAACTCTTTGATAAAGCTAAAATATCCTCTTGATACATTAATATATCGGTTTCAGGGTTTTTTTCCCCCCCATTTTTCTTAGAGCCTTTCATCCTCCTACTCTAACCTAGACAGCTGTCCAGAGGTGAACCTGGCCCTTCCTTTCCCATCACTCTGGAAACCTGTCCCCACCTCCGCCTTTTTTTCTTTTGAAATAAGAGTCTCTCTCTGTCACCCAGGCTGGAGTGCAGCGGCATGATCTCGGCTCACTGCAGCCTCCCACTCCCAGGTTCAAGCAATTCTTCTGCCTCAGCCTTCCAAGTAGCTAGGATTACAGGCACGCACCACCACACTCAGCTACTTGTTTTGTATTTTTAGTAGAGACAGGTTTTGCAGTGTTGGCCGGGCTGGTCTCAAACTCCTGGCCTCAAGAGATCCACCTGTCTTGGCCTCCCAAAGTGCTGGGATTACAGGCGTGAACCACTGTGACTGGCCTGGAAAATCCCCTTTGTCTCTTTCCGTGGTGTGTCCTGCTTCTCGGATCCTATGTCTTCCTCTTTTAAAAGGAAATTTATTGTGGTAAATATAAAATTTGCCATTGTAACCATTTTTTAAGGGTGCAATTCAGTGTCATTAAGTATATTCATGATGTTGTATAAACATCATTATCTAATTAATAAAAAATCTGTTTTTATCACCCCGAAGAGAAACTCTGTAATTATTAAGCAATGACTCCATATTTCCCCTTCCCCACAGTCCCTGGTAACCTCTAATCTATTTTCCATCTCTATGATTTTGCCTATTTTGGATATTTCATATATGTGGAGTATTTGTTCTTTCGTGTCTCTTTTTTATTTTTTTGAGACGGAATCTCACACTGTTGCTCATGCTGGAGTGCAGTGGTGCGATCTCGGCTCACTGCAACCTCCGCCTCCTGGGTTCAAGTGACTCTCCTGCCTCAGCCTCCTAAGTAGCTGGGATTACAGGTGCCTGCCACCACACCCAACCAATTTTTTGTATTTTTAGTAGAGATGGGGTTTCACTATGTTGGCCAGGCTGGTCTCAAACTCCTGACCTCGTGATATACCTGCCTCAGCCTCCCAAAGTGTTGGGATTACAGGTATGAGCCACCGCGCCTGGCCTCATTTATTTCACTTAGCGTGTTTTCGAGGTTCATCCAGTGGTAGCAAGTATCAGAACTTTATTCTTTTTTGACTGAATTAAGATTCCATTGAATGGATAGACCATATTTTGTTTTCTGCTGATGATGACATGGGTTGTTTCTACCTTTCAGCTGCTGTGAATAATGCTGCAATGAGCATAGGCATACAAGTATCTGTTTTCAAATCTTTTGGGTATATACCTAGGAGTGGAATTGCTAAATCATATAATTCTATGTTTAGCTTTTGAAGGAACTGCCAAACTCTTTTTTTCAGCCTACATCATGCTTTGAATGCCAAACTCTCTTCCATAGCAGCTGCACCATTTTACATCTCCACTACTACAGGGGCTCCAATTTCTCCACAGCCTCACCATTTTACTTTCCTTTTTAAAAAAATTATAACCATCTTTTTTTTTTTTTTTTTTTTTTTTGACGGAGTCTCGCTCTGTCGCCCAGGCTGGAGTGCAGTGGCCAGATCTCAGCTCACTGCAAGGTCCGCCTCCCAGGTTCTCGCCATTCTCCTGCCTCAGCCTCCCAAGTAGCTGGGACTACAGGCGCCCACCACCACGCCCGGCCAGTTTTTTGTATTTTTTAGTAGAGACGGGGTTTCACCGAGTTAGCCAGGATGGTTTCGATCTCCTGACCTCGTGATCCGCCCGTCTCGGCCTCCCAAAGTGCTCGGATTACAGAATTATAACCATCTTAATGGGTAAAAAGTGATATCTCATTGTGGCTTTAATTTACATTTCCCTAATGCCTAATGATGTTGAACAACTTTTCACAGGCTCACTGGCCATTTACATGTATTTTTTTGGAGAAATATCTATTCAAGTTGTTTGCCCATCTTTTAACTGGGCTTTTCGTTGCTTGCTTTTAGGAGTTCTTTATATATTCTATATATTAAACCCTTGTAAAATTTGCAAATGTTTTCTCCCACCCTGTAGGTGCTTTTTACTCTTTTGATAATGTCCTTTGATGCACAAGTCTTTAATTTTTATGAAGTTCAATTTTTTTTTTTTTTTTTGAGACAGAGTCTCTCACTGTCGCCCAGGCTGGAATGCAGTGGCGTGACCTCGGCTCACTGCAATCTCCACCTCCCGGGTTCAAGCGATTCTCCTGCCTCAGCCTCCCGAGTAGCTGGGACTACAGGCACGTGCCACCACACCCAGCTAACTTTTGTATTTTTAGTACAGATGGGGTTTCACAATGTTG